CCACTGACTCAATGGATGAATTTGAGGAAACTTCGGGAGATAGTGGAGGACAGAGGAGCCTGGCACACTGCAGTCCATGGGGTTGCGAAGAGTCAGACACAACTGAGCGACTGAACCACAACAGCAAGCTTTGAGAGATGAAGATCTGGAGAGAAATAAAGCCAGAAGAACAATGTAAGGATGAAAGAGTTAAAATTGTCTTTTTTTTCTTTTGTTCTTTTTTTGGTAAGGGGCGTTTTTTGTGAGGAAGGGCAGACATAGATACCATCTGTAACAAAAGTTCTGAAGGTGGGGTGGAGTAACACTGGCACATCCTTTGAGGTGGGCTGGGTATTGTCATTTTTGTCCTATAAGTTCAGGCACTTGGGACTTCCCTGGTGGTCCAGTGGCTAAGACTCTGCACTCCCAATGCAGGGGCCCTGGGTTCGCTCCCCGGTCAGGGAACTAGACCCTGCATGCTGCAACTGAGACCTGATATAGTCAAATAAATATTTTAAAAACAAATAAATAAATCTAGGCATTCTGGGGACTTCCCTGGTCGTTCAGTGGTTAAAACTCCACGCTCCCAATATAGGGATTCATGGGGCTAGGGTTTGATCCCTGGTCAGGAAACTAAGATCCTACACGTGTGGAACATCCCCCACCCACCCTCCCCCCCCAAAAAAAAAAAAATCCAGGAGCACTCCAGGTAGCCTGACGGACCCCTGACTCAAAGGCGCCCCCTGGTGGTCGGTTCTAAAATCACGGAAAGTTCTCCCACTTGCTTTTTTTCTTCTTTATTAAGGATGCACTTCTTTACTATTGGGCTTCACTGGTGGCTCAGCTGGTAAAGAATCCACCTGCAATGCGGGAGAACTGAGTCCAGTCCCTGGGTTGGGAAGATCCCCTGGTGGAGGGTATAGCAACCTGAACCAGTATTCTTGCCTGGAGAATCCCCATGGACAGAGGAGCCTGGCGGGCTACAGTCCATGGGATCCCCCAAAATAGGACTGAGGGGCTAAGCACAAAGCAAAGTAGTGTGCTTTTTTCTGAACACCAGACTAATACATCCAAAAACAACATATCTTCTGTAGGACAAGTTCCTAGAAGCCCCAGGGCTGGGTTGGTAGATGCTAGCATTTTGCATGTGGGCAGGTAACATCTAAGTCTCTTTCCAAAATAGTTTAGTTCAGATTAACATAAACACCAGGATGAGACCAGGTGGGTCACTTCCGCCATGTGTCCTGGCCATAAAATGAAAGGGCTGGATTTTTTTTTTTTTTTAAAGAAACAAAGTAAGGAAACCGTCTTCTCTGAACAGCGAAGGCCCTGCTTTGTGCTCACAGGTAGGTGTGTTGAGACTCACTCACAGCTGAACCAGCCAAGGCTGGAAGAGGCTGGCTAGGCAGCGCCCTGCCCAAGCTTGCACAGCTCATGGGTCTTCCCAAACCTGCTTGATCTCCAGACCCTCTGCTACTCCACGACCCCACCCTCCTCCCCAGCTTCTTCATTCATTCTACCAGCAAAACAGTGCTGCGTGGCCACCAGGGCCAGGCCCTCTGCACCACGGAGGGGATGCCCCAGGAGCAAGAGTAGACGTGTCCGTGCACACTGGAAGAATCTCACAAATAAACACACGTGTGCAAACGGAGCCAAACGGTGGGGCAAGCGGCACAGATGAGTGCAGGGTCAGGGGAGCCTGGAGTTGGCCAGCGGTCCTCATGCTGAGGGCACCGGGTCACTGTGAGGGATTTTAAGCAGGGGAGGGGGTGACCTAGTGAAAATCAAGCAGAAAGACCAGCGTGTGCTTCAGAAGCCATTATCTGTCCATCACATGTCCCTTGGAGCCCCACCTGGGTCCCTGGGCCTGGGGGACCTGCGGTGGCTGCCATGTGGGGAGCCTGTGGCCGTTGAGCCCACCTCCGGCAGCCAGGTCTGAGGAGCCGGCCACTTCCGCCCCCTGCTCTCCCTGTGGTTGGCTGCTGGGGCCAGGACACCTCGGCCAGCGCAGAGGGGAGCGGGCGGAGGCAGCGGGACGGCCCGGCGGTGGGGGGGACCTCCTACCTCCCAGTCTGTGGTTCTCAGGGCCCGGTCAGCCTCTTCCTGCCATTTGTCCCAGCCCTGGGCCTTATCAGAAAGGACTCTTTCCACAGCTTCTCCCCACCCCCTCCCCTCTGCCTCTCCCTAGGGGACAGAGAGGTGTTGGGGGGGAGGGTACAGAGAGGTACTCAGCCCTCCTGACTGAGGGGTCTTGGTGCTGGGGGTGGGCTTCTTTTATGGACACTCCTTCCAAATGGTTTCCATTCTTCGCTTCCCCAAGTCCTCCTGGGTCTCCTGGGCCCGCTGCCAGCGTTGCCTCCCCAGGTCTAGTCAGAATCCCCTTTTCACCCAACAGTGTGCCAGGCCCCCACGTGATGCCAGGGCTAGTTAGAGGGCTGGGGGGAGACCAGAACAAAGGGCAGGATGCGCCCTGCCCTTCGGAGCTCACAGCCCAGTGGGAAGATGCAGGGCCAGCTCCAAGTAAAAGAGAGAAATATTCTTCTAGAACTGTGTGTGCAAAGTGCTGGTGGATTGAAGGAAGAAGGGGAGGGTGGGGCTGTGATCAGAGAGAAGGAAGAGTGGATGACTTCCTCCCCTAGACTTCCAGACATAAGGTCTGGTGTGATGAGAAATAGGGAGGACATGGAAAGCAACCCCCCCACACACCCCCCACGCTGTGGCTCATTTCCCCCACAGAACTAAGGCTACTTAATTTGAAGGACTATTCTTCAGTCTGAAATGATAGCCTTCCTGTCTTTTGGGTGTTTTGATGTCCTTTCCAGAAGGTACTTGGTGGTGGTTGTTTTTTATTGTGGTTGAAGAGGACATAACATGAGTTATGCTCTTGTAACAAATTGTTAAGTGTATGGCCCAGAATTGTTAACTGGATGCCCAGTGCTGTACAACAGATCCTTAGAACTTAGTCCTCTTGCTGAACTGAAAGTCCACCCTCGTTGACAGCAATTCCCCTCCCTTCGGCTCCTGTCAACCACCCCTCTCCTTTCTGTTTCTATGAGTTTGACTGTTCTAGGTGCCTCATGTAAGTGGAATCATACAGTGTTTGTCCTTCTGTGACTGGCTGATTTCACTTCGCATGTCCTCAAGTTTTCATTGGTATTTAGCGTCAGACAGGATTTCCTTCTTTTCTGTGGCTGAAGAGCATTTCATTGTATGTGTCCACCACATTTTCTTTTTTGTAATGTGCAACTTTCAATTATTTATTTAAACATTTTATTTACTTTATTTAAAATTCTTGTTTCTTTATTTTTGGCTCAGGAGTTGTGGCACATGAGCCCAGTTGCCCGTGTGGGATCCTCCTGGACCAGGGATTGAACCCAACGCCCCTGAATTGGCAGGTGGACTCCCAACCACTGGACTACCAGGGAGGTCCCACCACATTTTCTTCACTCTCGTCCATCCATCAGTGGGCATGTAGGTTATCTCCAATTCCGTTGCAATGTTAGAGTCAAATGCAAATGTATTTTGGGGATCCTGATTTCACTTCTTTTGGCTATATATCCAAAAGAGCGATTGCTAGATCACATGGTATTTAATTTATTTTGAGGAACCCCAATACTGTTTTCCCTAACAGCTGCACCATTTTACATCCCCACCAACAGTGCCCAAGGGTTCCCTTCTTTATATCCTCCAACACTTGTTAACTCTTGTCTTTTCGATAATAGCCATTTTAACAGGTGTGAGCTGATATCTTATTGTGGTTCTGATCTGCATTTACCTGATATAAGGTGTGTTGTACACTTTTCACATGCTTGTTGGCCATCTGGGGTCTCTTTGGAGAAAAGTCTGTTCGGGCCTTTTGAATTTTTTTAAGATGTATTTATTTATTATTTCATTTATCTATTTATTTATGGCTGGGTCTTTGTTGCTGCACAAGCTTTTCTTCAGCTGCGGCGAGTGGGGGGTAGTCTCTAGTTGCGGTGCACGGGCTTCTCATTGCTGTGGCTTCTCTTGTTGTGGAAATTGGGCTCTAGAGCACTGGCTCAGTAGTTGTAATGCAAGGGTTTAGTTGTCCTGAGGCATGTGGGATCTTCACGGAGCGGGGATTGAACCTGTGTCCCCTGCATTGGCAGGTGGATTCTTTACTACTGAGTCACCAGAGAAGCCCCCCTTTGCCCATTTTTAAATTTGGTTATTTGGGTTTTTGCTATTGAGTTGTAGGAGTTTCTTATCTATTATAATATATGAGTGCTATGTGCTAAGTAGCTTCAGTCATGTCTGACTCTTTGCGACCCCATGGACTGTAGCCCGCCAAGCTCCTCTGTCCATGGGATTCTCCAGGCAAGAATGCTGGAGTGGGTTGCCATGCCCTCCTCCTCGGGGATCTTCCCGACCCAGGGCTCGAAGCGCATCTCTTATGTCTCCTACATTGGCAGGCGGGTTCTTTACCACTAGCTCCACCTGGAAGATGATCATATATATGGCTCACAAATTTTTTCTGTAAGGTTGCCTTTTTGTTAATTGTTTCTTTTGCTGCGCAGCAGCTTTTTGGTTTGATACAGACCCACTTGTCTATTTTTTCTTTTGTTGACTGTGCTTTTGGTGTCATACTCAAGAACTCATTGCCAAGACCAATGTTATGAAACTTTTCCCCTATATTTTCTCCTAGCAGTCCTATAGTTTCAGGTCCTGTGTTTAAGTCTTCAATCCATTTTGAGTTGACTGTATATGGTGGAAGATAAGGGTCCAGTTTTATCCTTTTGCACATGGATATCCAGTTTTCCTAGCACCATTTGTTGTTTGATTTTAAGGGCCTTTTTTGGCAGTCTTTTGACGGCTCCCTAAGGTTTCCTTAGAAATGTTACTGGTCTGTGAAATCCTGTGAACCAGATTCTCATAACTTTATTATCGTGACTAATTATATTTTAAAAACTAGGATGTGTGGTCCAGTATACACATGCCTTTTATGAAAAGAGTGGGTCAGTCAGCAAGGTTTCAGAAAATCTGGACCGTAGGAAGGGTCCATGTCCTTGGTGGCCACATCCCAGTCTGACTGGCGGTTCATTCCTTCTCCCCACTCAGACTGTGAGCACTTTGGAGTTCACAGCTCTGCAGAGGAGGTGTTCATTAATATCTGTTCACTGCCTTGCAGCCAGGGGTGCCGAGATCAGAGAGGTGAAGCCCTTTGCCTGCATCACAGAGAGGCTCAGGCAGAGGTGGCCCGGCCTGGGGTCTCCAGTTCTCGGGCCAGCACTGTTCTGACTGCCCTGTTATCAGCATGTGTCTCTCTGCCTGCACTGAACAAAACCTCCCTCCCCCTGTAGTCCAGGTTGGCTGACAAAGAGCTCTTTTCCTTCTGAACTGGAAAGCCTTGATATTGTAGAGATGGAGCTTGTGCCATCTCAGTGTCTCCACCAGCGGCCGGCATGGCACCTGGCACATGAGAACACGGTAACTGTCTGAACAAAGGGATGACCAGCATTTCCACCTGGAAGCCAGAAATCAGAAAATTTAGATTCTATTTCCTGCCTGGCTGCAGGTTTGTTCCGTGACACAGAGCAGGTCCCTTCCTGTCCCTTGGCCTTGGTCATCTCATCTATTAGTAATAACAGCAACAATCATAATAGCTAACGTGTAATAAGTGCCTCATATGTGTCAGGCATTATGCTAGCCCCTTTTTTTCTTTTTTTAAATCGCACACTTCATTTTTAGGAAATTTTATTTATTTTTTGGTTGCACTGGGTCTTCATTTCTGTGCTTGGGCTTTCTCTAGTTGCAGCAAGCGAGGGGCTACTCTTCGTGGCAGTGCAGACTTCTCACTTCTCACAAGAGTGTGGCAGCCTCTCTTGTGGATCACAGGCTCTAGGTGTGTGGGCTTCAGTAGTTGTGGTGCACAGGCTTAGTTGCCCTGCAGCATATGAAATCTTCCTGGACCAGGGATCGAACCCGTGTCCCCTGCACTGGCAGACAAATTCTCAGCCACTGTGCCACCAGGGAAGTCTGCTCGCTGCGTTTATAGGTATAAACCCATTTATTCCTCCCAGTCACCCCCAGAGGTAGAGATTATGATACCTCTGGAATACAGATAAGGAAACACTAGCCCAAAAGGGTCAACTAGCTTGTCCAAGGTCACACGGTTAGTTAGAAAGACAGCAGAGATTCAAGAGCAGGCAGGCTGATCCCAGAGATCACCTCATCACTAGATGATATTGAGCGTTAGAAGATCTATCTTTTCTTGCTCAGAAATGCAGTGATTCTTTGAGATACAGAAAGTGGCAGCCGTTTCAATTCTGGGCCTTTGGCAAAATGTTTCTGGTTGAGTTCCTGTAGACTTTGTTAAATAGCAACTGTGCAGATCTCTTCCTGGGAGGAAGGCAAATGTTAAGACAGGGTTACATGTCTATCACAGGGTTATAATGATAATTTCTATATTGACTCTATGTTGACATGATAATATTTGTGATATATTGGGTTAAATAAAATACATTATTAAAATGAAAGTCACCTGTTTCTTTTTACTTTTTTTTTTTTTAACAACAATACTGGTATTTATTCTGAAAGGTAATTGTGTGTTCCAAGTAGCATAACAACTTCCAACATGATCTCTAAACCTCTAGGAATAATTAGTGGTTCTGAACCATGCTTTGGAAAAGCATTTCCAGCTGTCTGCGCGGGATTTATCTCTGTTCCACCATTGGTAATAGGTGCACTTGTTGCTGAAGGAACTTTAAATTCTTTTGCTGCAAACTTTAAGACTGTTGTGAAAAGTGTATTTTGGGCAACACTGAGTACTCTGTAAGGCAGCCTTGGGTCCAAGGTCAGTGTGATCTTAAAGGAAGCTGTGGTGGAACCAGCCTGGACAAAACACCCCACACCAACTCCCTCTTTTTCCTTTTTTTCCTGTGGCTACTAGAAAATTGTAAATTGCACGTGTGGCTGACATCCTGTTCCTATTGCACTGCGCCGCTCTAGCCGCGCTGGCTTTGCTTCAGCTCCTGGAGGGCGCCAAGCTCTTCCCAGCCCCTGATCCTTCTTCCCGAAGCTCTTCTCCACCCCCTTCTCAGCTGCCCCGCCCCAGCCCCACCCCTGCTGCCTGACCACATGCCTCCTTGCGGGACCACAGAGAACCCTTCTGTCTGCATGTTTGTTGTCTTTTTTTTAAGCATTTTTCTCTTCTTGGCTGTGCTGGGTCTTCATTCCTTTCTCTAGTTGCCACAAACAGTGGTGCATGGGATTCTCACTGCGGTGGTTTTTCTTGTTGCAGAGCATGGGCTGCAGGACACTCGGGTTTAATAGTTGTGGCGCATGGACTTAGTTGCCCCGAGGCATGTGGGATCCTCCCGGACCAGGGATCAAACAGTGCAGTGTCCCCTGCACTGGCAGATAGAGTCCTAACCACTGGCCTACCAGGGAAGTCCTGTTGGCACGTGTTTTTCATTTTTCTCCCCCCGGATGGTGTGCAGACTCCGGAGGCTCTGTTTTTAGTCCAGTACCTGGGTCCTCGTTGGTCAGGGAAGGCCCGTGGTCAGACGGAGGCCTGAGTTCTGGGGAAGGATGAGAGCTGGTCCACACTCCTCCACCTGGAGATGGGGGCGGGGGTCTTAGGTCAGAGCGCTCCTCCTGCTGTTGGCCAGGGTTTCCCTGAAGCAGGAGTAGGCAGTCAGTGGCTCTGAGCAGAACACACGGGCTGGAAAGGGGCTTTGGGCTTTTTGTGGGGTGCTGGGAACCTGCTGCCTGGGTAGACCCCACGCTGCAGAGCTCTCAGGCTTTGTGAGAACTCAGCTGGCCGCCGGGCCAGCTGCCACCGTCTGCCAGGCCCTCAGGAAACGCCAGGGCAGCCGCAGAGGACTTGGCCTCTGCTGGGGTTCCCCAGGGTCTGTCTCAGCTCTGCTGCTCACCAGCATGGGACCTCAACGGCTCACTCAGCTCCCCTCCAGGTGAGTCTTGGCTTGCTGCCTGGGGCCGCTGAGGACACAGGGAGGGCTGTCCTCTCTCCAGCGCCGACGGGGCATCGTGTGGGAACACACAGATGTGCAGGCCACCCCAGGATCCTTGTGCCCAGTGCTCCCTCCCTGCCATCAGCCGCCCCTGCAGGGTGCTGGCCGCCATGGGGACAGAAGCAGTGCATGGCCTCTGTTCCTGAGCAAGCCCTCCACCTCCTGCTACGCGAGGACCACTAGGTCACCACCCCATTCTGTGTTATCATCCTGAGGACGCCGACCACGGCAGGATCTGGAGGAGGAGGCGGCACCACGGTTTCTGTGAAGAGTCCTGTGGGTTTTAATTGGCCACAAGCTCAGAGGGAGCCCACGGGTGACCTGATTGCTAAAATAGCCAGGGAGGAGGACAGAAGCTTCCAGAACCAGGAGGAGGTGGCAAAAAGAAAGTGAGGGCACTGTTCTTGGAACTGGTCCCCCTCTGGAGAGCAGGGAGCGCCCCCCCCCCTGCTATCCCAGCCCCTGTGGGTGAGAGCAGGGTGGGGCAAAAGCAGGTGCCTGCTAGCTGCAGGGCTGGGCCACTGGGGGCAGGACAAATGCTGCTTTCTGACTCTCTAGTCTTCTCCAAACACTGCTCTTGAATGAGTCCAGATGGCTTTTCTAAGACAGGGCCACTGCCCCTGGGCTTTGGCCGCTCAGGTTAGAAGCAGCCGGGAGCGTTGGGGTTGGAAGGGCCCCAGGGGACCAGGTGGGCTGGGCATTCCAATCCCACACGGGGAAGCTGGGAGCCTGCCTGAAGACGGCAAGGGCGAGCTCTCCTTCAGCCCTCCTGCTCTCTGAAAGAAACGCAAGGAACAAAGAAGACGGCTTCTCTCATAGTAGATAATGAACGTTCAGATTCTCAGCCCTGGGAAGGATCATCTCCCTGGGTCCCCAGCCAGGAAATTTACAGACCCTTCCAGAGGGCCTGTTGGGGGGAGCCTGGGCCCCAAGAGGGCAGTGTCCCCTTGCTGGTTCCTCCATGGGCTGGGGTGGCTGGTGAGTCCCCTGCCCTCCGAGGACAGAGCCCAGTGGGCCCCCAGCTTGGGGTGGGGGAAGGGGCCAGGTGGGGAGGGTGAGCTTGGGCTAGAGCAAGCCCCGACTCTGCTTTTTGTTTTATGTCTAATTATAAAAGCAATTCGTACTCATTACAAAATTTGGGAACTACAAAAAGGTAGAAAGGAGAAAATGAAAGTCATCCGTCATCCCGGTGCTCAGAGATAACACTGTTGCAGTTTTGTTGTAGTTCTCTCCAGGCCTGTTTTTCTGCATGGGTCACACATATGTATATTAACGTGTGTTTTAATTGTAACAGTACTCTGTAGCTGATTCCTCCGTCCTCCCCCCGCCCCACATTACATTATATTGTGAACACTTTTTCACAGCATTCAAGTTTCCTTTAAAGTTATTTAATAGCTGTATACTATTCTGTTAATAATTTATTTAGCCATTCTCCTCCTTTTTAATTCTTCTCTTTTGACTCTCTCTCTCTTTTTTTAACCAAGGGAATTGGGCAGTTTTAAAACTTCCACTTAAAAATATAAACCCAGCTTTTCAGCTGCCAAGATGGAGCGACCCTGAGCCATGCTGTCTGCTAGTCACACTGAGAGGGACCCTTGGTTTAACATCTCCGAGCAACGGCAAAGGATGAGCATTTGGAAAAAAATAAACAATAAAACCCAGCAGCAGCACCAGGGAGGGTGAGGAAGAGGGCTTTCCTCTGTGTCCAGAGCCGTGTGGGTGTGCCCATCCTCTGGGCAGCGTCCTGGGATGCCAGCTGGAGGAAAGGGTTGGGCCATTCGCTGTTCACGCTCTGCTTGTGATGAGCTGACGTGTGGACTCAGGCAAGTCCTCTGACGGCTCCGTCTCTCTTCTCCCGAGGCTGTAATGTGGACTTTATGCTGGAGTGGCTGGAATCAAACCCCATGATGGTGCCTCTGACCCAGCACTGCCTCAGTAGGGACCAAGGAACCAGGGCTTGGTGGGGCCTGGGTGGCCTCAGCAGGGAACCTTTGCCCTGTATGAGCCGTGGACCCTCTCCCGGCTCTCAGACTCTCTGGTGTGCCCGGCCCCCGGAGTCTGTGGCTACCCCCTGAATTGCTGGCCCTTGGCATTCCGGTTGTCCAGACCGGGTGACCCCAGACCCCTTGGAATAGCTCTGGCCTCCCCGGGGCCCTGATTTCGTCTCTAGTGAGGCACTTATCGGGCTTCCCTGCCTTTTCCAAATCCCTGCTCAGTAGCCCAGAGCCGGGCCTCGGTATGACCCATAGAGAACCCTGAGGTCTGCTGCCTTTCCCGAGAAATTTCCTGTTGTAGTTGGGGCTCAGGAGTCATGCAAACAGGGTTTT